CCCCCCCCCCCCCTCCAAAGGCCGAAAACCCGGAAACCTGCTGAAACCTTCGGGGCCGCAATCAGCGGCGTTAGCCTAAACCCTAAACCTAAAATCCTAAACCCTATATAAACCCTAAACACCCACCTTCAGTCCGGGGAATCGCGGCTCGTTGCCCCAAATGCCCTTGAGCAAGTTGGGCCTCGCCAGGGTCTGAGGTTTAGGGCTTCGGGTTTAAGGTTTAGGGTTCAGGGTTGAGGGTTGAGGGTTGAGGGTTTAGGGCCGTTCGGGGTTTGGGGTTTAGGGTTTAGGGCTTCACGTTCTGGGATCAGGCAAGCTCAGCACAAGCCAGCACCACGTGCTGCTAAGCTCAAGAGCCGAGAAAGACACGCGACCTGTGCTTCAGAGGCTGTGGGTCTAACGTTCTGGCGCCTAAGCTCACGTTTTCGCGCAGGACGAAGAATGGGACAACCTTCTGATCTGGTGAAGGACGAAGGACAGGAGGATCACAATGACCTTGAGTCCCGCCAAATTATACCTTGTGTCGTCGCCAGAAATGCCGAGTGGGATTGTGCAGTTTGCGAGCGCAAGCAGGATGCGGGCCATGGTTTGCCTGCCAGTCTGTCCAGAATTCCTCTCGGGCACTTTGCCCGATCTGCACACCTTTGTCCTAATTGCTTGTGGGCCAGCCTGAACCCCTCACACCCCAGTCGTGACGGTGTGTTCCTCATCCCTCCTATCGGCAGTTTTCCAAATTCAGGTTGGACCACCAAAAAGAGTTTAGGGTTTAGGGTCTAGGGTTTCTGAATTTCGACAACTACCCATATGCCCTGCCCGAAACCGAGCCAGGGTTCACAGTCTAGAGTTTTGATAGCCAGCCTACCCTGCGAATCCCACCCCACAGTGTCCCAGACTTACATAACAATAACCCTGAATCTAAACCCTGAACCCTAGCCCTAAACCCTCAGCCCTCAACCCTAAACCCTAAACCATATAGCAATTACAAGCTAGGCGGCTCAATTTAAGGTTTTGGGTTTTGGGCTTAGGGTTTAGGGTTAAGGGAAACGACACGCTGCCAGGCGCGCGTCGCTGCTGGTTGAGGGCTTGGTCTTAGGTCGTTACTACTAACCTAGACCCTAAATCCTAAACCCGAAGCCCGAAACCCTAAAACACTCTAAAACACCCTAAACCCTAAACCCTAAACCCGATACCCTAAACCCTAAACCCTAAACCCTGAACCCTAAACCCTAAACCCTAAACCCTACACTCTAAACCCTAAACCCTAAACCTTAAACCCTAGGACCAAGTAGCCCTCTTCGTTTACCTCAACTTATTTTGAGCATGGGATAGATAGCCCTAATCCGAAACCCGACAACGAGGGCGGACTTCGGGTTCGGGTTGAGGAAATCCCTAGACCTTAACAGCCTAAAACCCTGAAACCTTGAAACCCTAAACCCTCCTGAAATCCGCAAATGACCCCAAGCCCTAAACCCGAAATACCTGAAGCCCCCTAACCCCCTAAACCCCTCAAAACCCCTCAACCCCTCAACCCCTCAGCCCCTCAACCCCTCAACCCCTCAACCCCTAAACCCCTAAACCCCTAAACCCCTAAACCCCTAAACCCCTCAACCCCTAAACCCCTAAACCCCTAAACCCCTAAACCCCTAAACCCCTAAACCCCTAAAACCTAAACCCCTAAACCCCTAAACCCCTTAATTAACCCCCAAACCCCTAAACCCCCAAACCCCTAAACCCCTAAAGCCCTAAACCTCGAAAGCCCTAAACCCTAATTCCCCCAAAACCCCAAGCCCGCCTGATCTTCCCCAGACGAAGGGCACCAGACAGGCCTTGGGCATAAAGAGCTGGCAAGCCTCGGATCTCTGGAAGGTTGGATTCGATCTTTTTGTTGGGGTGGGGGAGGGGGGGGAGGTCTGGGGGTTGGGGTTTTGGGTTTTGGGGGTGGGGTTTGGGGTTTGGGGTTTGGGATTTGGAGTTTGGGGTTCGGGGTTTGGCGTTTGGGGGTTGGGGTGTGGGGTGTGGGGTTTGGGGTTACAAAGCTTCAGTGAACTCCTCAACGCACCCACAATCCCAACAGCAATGCTCTCACACATCAGTCACCCGAGCCAGCAATCCAGGTTGAGGGTAGAATTTAGGATCTACATTCTGAAGGTTCAAGTTGGGTTAGATGGTTTAGGGTTTAGCGTTCTAGGGTTCAGGGCCAAGAGGTTCAGAAGATTAGGCTAGGATGTATACGCGGGAGTGGTTCTGATGTTGGATTTAGGGCCTAGGGTGTTTGATTAAGGTTTACACCAAAACACCCCCAAAAGGACCCGGACATGGCAGAGCCCTCGAGAACCATGGGGTCGGTTCTCTAATTTCACGTCCCTTTTTGAGGGTTTAGGGTTTAGGGTTTAGGGTTTAGGGTTTAGAGTTTAGGGTTTAGGGTTTAGGGTTTAGGGTTTAGGGTTTAGGGTTTAGGGTTTAGGGTTTAGGGTTTAGGGTTTAGGGTGCTTCAGCCTCTACAAGCCTATGATATCGGGAGGGAATGATGCCTTATTTCTTTCATTTTTTGGCGGGGGGGTCTCCGATAATAAGACGGAGCCTTATATGCACATACAGATATACATGTATATATGTGTTACCCAGAATCCCATAAATGGAACAACGCAGGTCTGCCACCTTCTTGGAGCCTCGGAGTTTAGGGGTTTAGGAGTTTTCAGGGATTTGGGGCTTTGGGTACAGGATTTAGGGTTTAGGGGTTAGGGGTTAGGGTTTAGGGCTTAGGGTTAGGGCCCTGAGACCCCGAACCCTCCAATGGAACCAAGAGGCCACCCTCGCGTGCCAGGTCGGTGCGCGGGTTGCCTCGGCTGCAGAGGCTGGAGAGGAGATGGCTTTAGGGCCTAGGGTGTAGGGTTTAGGGCTAGGGTTTAAGGTTTAGGGTTTAGGGTCTAGGGTCTGGGGTTTAGAGCTTGGGGTTTGGGATTTAGGGTAGCTACAATGTCACAAGGCCTCTACTAACCTACTGGTTCATGAGGCAATTTGGTCCCAATATCGCCTAAACCCAAAACCCAAAACCCTAAACGCCCCAGATTGACCCTTTAAGGGATGATAGGAGACATGGTTTAGGGTTTAGAGTCTAGAGTTTAGGGCCTGCGATGGTTTAATAGTGCATCCCCACAAGGCTCCCACAAGCACTGCAATGATGAACTCCCATCGCTCTGTCCTGAGAATAGAACAGACCCACTTGTCCCTAAACCCTAAGCCCGAAGCCCGAAGCCCTAAGCCCTAAACCCTAAACACCAACTCAATCCAAGTAACCCCAAAACCCTTTCGAACCCTGTAACTACAGCCACCCCGAAACCCCAAACCGCCGACCCAATTCGGGCAGGCACGCAAACCTAAACCCCTAACCCCTAAACCCTAAACCCTAAACCCCTAAACCCTAAACCCTAAACCGGGTAAGCTGCCTCTCATGGCCCGCCACCACGGCAGCTTTCGTGCGTTGGAGTCCCCGCCGATGCGCAGGGAAATGTCCGAGAACCATCCCTGGGGGCGTTTGGCGTTTAGGGTTTCGGGTTAGGGTTTAGGGTTTAGGGTTTAGGGTTTAGGGTTTAGGGTTTAGGGTATAGGGTATAGGGTTTAGGGTTTAGGGTTTAGGGTTTAGGGTTTAGGGTTTAGGGTTTAGGGTTTAGGGTGTAGGGTTTAGGGTTTGGGGTTTAGGGTTTAGTTCGAGTGCTCAGGAACTCAGGAAAAGCTTAGGGTATAGGGCTTAGGGCTTAGTGCTTAGGGCTTAGGGTTAAGGGTATCGCTTAGCGCTTCGGGCTTCGGGCTTAGGGCTAGGGCTTTGGGCTAGGGCTCAAAAGCGCGCTACACCCTAAACCTGAGCACTCATATACGCGTCGTCCTAAACCTACAACCTACACCCTGAACCCTAAACCCTAAACCCTAAACCCTAAACCTAAACCCTAAACCCTAAACCCTAAACCCTAACCCTGAAGAGAACTAAGAGCCTGCGGGGATTTCCAGAGACCGCTGAGTGCCACCAGGTACTCCGGGTTGAAGTCGTGGCTTTCCAGCCTTGTTGAGGGTTTTTTAGGGTTTAGGGTGTTTAGGGTTTTAGGGTTTAGGTTTAGGGGTTTTAGGTTTAGGGTTTAGGCAAGGCTTTAGGTTTAGGGTGTGGGGGGCCTAGGGTGTAGGATGTGGGGTTTGAATGGGTTTGAGGCGTCTCTAAACCCTAAACACCCCAACCCTGCACCCTAAACCCTAAACCCTAAACCCTAAACCCGAAACCCTGAACCCTAGTAAAGCCCGAGAGGCGCATTCTCCGAAAGAAAGACACGCGCCGCCACCACCCTGCGCTGGCGAAAAAGGCGTTTTTGGCGGTTTAGGGTTTAGGGTTTAGGGTTTAGGGTTCAGGGTTTAGGGTTTAGGGTTTAGGGTTTAGGGTTTAGGGTTTAGGGTTTAGGGTTTAGGGTTTAGGGTTTAGGGTTTAGTTGTTGTTGGTTTAGGGCATTGGGCTTTGGGCTTTGGGGTGTGGGGTTTAGGGGTTAGGTTTAGGGTTTAGGCCCTGAGGGTTCAGAGTATAGGGCTTAGGGTTTGGGGCTTTAAGGCTCAAGTAGGTACGAGGTCTAGGGTTCCGGGTTTATGCGAACGGTCTTGCAGACGATTTTGAAGTTTGGGACTTGAGGTTTCGCGCTTAGGGTTCAGGGTTTAGGGTTGCTTTTGAGCCCGAAAGCCCTAAGCCCCTCATCGCCTCAGCCCTCAGCCCCTCAGCCCCACATCCCCACAGCCCCACAGCCCTACAGCCCTACAGCCCTAAAGCCCTTAACTTAAAGGCCTTAAAGCCCTGAACCCCAAACCCCAAACCCCAAACCCTAAACCCTAAAGCCTAAAGCCCTATAAACCGTAAACCCTAAACCCTAAACCCTAAACCCTAAACCCTAAACCCTGAACCCTGAACCCTGAACCCTGAACCCTGAACCCTGCACTTCCCCCTGTCAGCATTTCACACGCGCGGGGACGTGGCGTAGAGCTGCTCACCGGTGGCCCCGCTCAGCGCGATGAGCTGCATCCTGTCCCAAGGGCTGGTAGCGTATAGGGTTTAGGGCTTAGGGTTTAGGGATTAGGATTAGGGTTTAGGGTTTAGGGTTTAGGGTTTAGGGTTTAGGGTTTAGGGTTTAGGGCAGAGGGCTTAGTTCTTAAGGCTTAGGGCGTCTCGCCGGCTGTGGATACCATGTGAACATGGCACCCCGACACACCGGGGGGGGGGGGGCTTTTTTTCGCCAAGGCAAATGCTTCCAATGCAGTCCAACAATTTTCAGTGGTGCTAGGTTTAGTTTTTCCTACCTACTGTGAGCTTTTGCAGGCCACCACCCAAACCACTGAGGGTTTAGGGCTGCCGCCCTCAATTCCCACCATCACGAACGCTTCGAAGTACGATGGGTTCAGCAAAGGGGCTTGGTAGGGTTTAGGAGAAGACTAGGGCTTGAAGTAGAGGCTTTAGTAGGTCCTTTAGTAGAGGGTTTCGCGAGGGTTTAGTAGGGTTTAGAACAGCGTTCAGTAGAGGGGAATCACTAGGCACTCCGGCTTAGTGAAGGGTTTTCGTGAAGCGGGGCTGTAGGTCATTGCAAGGCTTGGCCCGCAGGGTGTAAAATCTGTTGTAGGGCGGGGCCCCCTCGCTCCCCCCCCCCCCTCCCCGGGTTTAGGGTTTCGGGTGTTGGGTTTCGGGTTTTGGGTTTTGGGTTTAGGGTTTAGGATTTAGGGTTTAGGGTTTGGGGGTTGGGGTTTAGGGTTTAGGCTTTAGGGTTTTAGGGTTTAGGCGTTAGGGTCCAGGGTTAGCGCGAAAAGCGACAAGGAATTGGCTCCGGTGGCTGGGGTAAAGCAGCTCAGCGCGCGGTGGCTCTAGAAAGATGCAACCCTAAACCCTAAACCCCCTAAACCCCCTAAACCCCCAAAACCCCTAAACCCCCTAAACCCCCTAAACCCCTAAACCCCCTAAACCCCCTAAACCCCTAAACCCCTAAACCCCCTAAACCCCTAAACCCCTAAACCCCTAAACCCCCAAACCCCTAAACCCCTAAACCCCTAAACCCTAAACCCTAAACCCTAAACCCTAAACCCCTAAACCCCAAACCCTAAACCCTAAACCCCAAACCCAACATGTGGTCCTGGCGGCGAGCGAGTCCACGGGCTGCACGACGACGGCAAAGGCATCTTGGCATTCCTCCACATGGGGTTTTACGAAAATGGGGCGGGGAGGGGGGGGGGGGGGGGGGGGACCCCTAAAGTAGACCCCAAATTTAGGGTTTAGGGTTTAAGGTTTAGGGTTTAGGGTTTAGGGTTTAGGGTTTAGGGTTTAGGGTTTAGGGTTTAGGGTTTAGGGTTTAGGGTGTAGGTAAAGAACCCCAGAAAAGTACCCCGAATTTCAGAACCCCGACATGGGTCTTGGGGCTTAGGGTTCAGGTTTGGCTCTAGAAATAATATGCCAGCCCCCCCCCCCCCCAAACCTAAACCCTAAACCCTAAAAACACTAAACCTAAACCCTAAACCCCAAACCCTAAACCCTAACCCAAACCCTAACCTAGACCCTAAACCCAAACCCCCTAAACCTAAACCCTAAACCCTAAACCTAAACCCATCCCCCCCCCCCCCAAAAAAAAAAAAAAAAGACAGTAAAGTACCCTTTTTGGCTTCAAGGGGCTTAAGGGTCGTTTCAGTTCCTAGAAGCCCGGAAAGCCCAGCCGCGACGAACCCGAAAAGTTCACCCTGAAACCCGGATACCATGAGTTTCGGCTTTAGGTTTAGAGTTTAGGGTTTAGGGCTTAGGAACAATAGATTGCTGGAGACCCTATCGAACCCCAAAGCCTAAATTTTGGGGAGCTGGGGACCCCGTCATGCCACAACCCTGTATAGCTAATTTCCCCTGTTCCTGTGATTTGGACCCATATGTAACCCTGAAATCCTACACCCGAAACCCTGCAACCCCCCGAAACCCCAAAATCTCAAAATCCCGAGACACCAAAACGCCAGAACCCAAAACCCCGAAAACAAAAAAAAAACACATTTAAACCTTAAACCCCAAACAGTCCTAAGCCCTAAACCCCAAAAGTCCGAAACCCCAAACACCCCGCAACCCCGAAAAACGCCCAGCGGCGGGGAGACCGGCAAAGCGCTGGTCCGACTGCTGCGTCCAGGCGATGCCGTCGACGGAGCGCCAGACCTTGTTCTGAAAAGGGGCTTCGGCTTTTTTGAGTATACAGGGCTTAGGTTTTAGGGCTTGAGGTTTAGGGTTTACGGGTCAGGGTTGAAAGGGTTTGGGGTGAAGAGTTGTGTGGTTTAAAGAGTTTTGGGGTTTGGGGTTTGAGGAATGAGGGTGTGCCTCAGTGGACAAGGGGCACACTCCCAATCGCCCGCTCGCACAAAGTGCGTTCCCACCCCAGCCAACCTAACTATTTTAATCCCCCAGCCCCCACAACAAGGGGGGGCTTTCTCACCCTAAGCCCTCAACCCTAAACCCTGAACCCTGAACCCTAAATCCTTAAGCCTTACACCCGAAACCCGAAACCTTGTTCGGAGCCCCTCTGCAACATTTCAAAGTAGAAAGAGTGGCCACGGGGCCCCTAGAGATTGGCCTGGGTAGATTCACCAACAGGCTAGGGGCTAAGGTTTATGGTTTAGGGTTTGGGGTTTGGGGTTTGGGGTTTAGGGTTTAGGGTTCAGGGTTCAGGGTTCAGGGTTCAGGGTTTAGGGTTTAGGGTTTAGGGTTTAGGGTTTAGGGTTTAGGGTTTAGGGTTTAGGGTTTAGGGTTTAGGGTTTAGGGTTTAGGGTTTAGGGTTTAGGGTTTAGGGTTTAGGGTTTAGGGTTTAGGGTTTAGGGTTTAGGGGCGCTCTCGCCAGTTTGGGGTTCCCCTCCCGCTGATGTCTAAAAGCGCGGAAAAGGGCCCCTGACGTGTTACGAATGTGCCTCACTTGGAGGTTGATGGTACTTAGTAACCAAAGTATAGCTGTACTTCAAACCCAATTATAACCCTACTAGGGTACTCAAGGGGCTTGTAAGTGGGTTACAACTACGCTTATGATTGAGTTTCTAAGTACCTCCAACCTCCAAAGAAGGTCCCAACCCTTTGAGGTTAGGGTGGGGGAATTCGGGTTTGTGCTTTGGGGTTTCTAGCCTGCGAGGTTGGAATTTAGGTGTTGTGCTGCAAGGCTTTGGTTTTTTGGGCATGTAGGTTTAACTATAGTCTCGGCCCTAGACCCTAAAACCCAAACCTCAAACCCTAAACCTGAAACCCTATATTGCATGGCAAACCCCACCACTCCCGCACTCTTAGGGTAGCTACATGGTCCCTTAATCCCATGCACTCCCCGACTACCCCCCTTTGTACTACCCCCCCCCCCCCCCCCCCCCGCTGATTCCACCCTTACATCACCCTAAACCCTAAACCCCCAACCCTAAATAACCTGAATCCTGGGGGGGGAACCTAGGGGGGGGGGGGTAGTATAAAGGGGGGTAGTAGCTCAACCCATGATACTTCGGACCATGACTTGGGGCCCCTGATAATCTCGGGCCTATAAAACACCCTGTTTAAGCAGGTAAGGTACAATTTTGGTGGACCATGTAACTTCCCTAAACCCTAAACCCAAAACCCTAAACCCTAAACCTAAATCCTAAACCCAAAGCCCTAAACCCTAAACCCTGCACCCCATGCTTTTCTGAGCGCCCGCACGTCCACCAAGTAGGGCATCTGGCTGTTCAGAAACCACGTGTGTGGGATAGTCCCGGCACTTGCTGGGTCCGAAAACCCGAGCACGAGATCCTGGGTGTGAAAGAGGGTTTAAGGTTTAAGGTTTAGGGTTTAGGGTTGCAGGGTTTAGGGTTTAGGGTTTAGGGTTTCGGGGTCAGAGGGGTTTAGGGTCGGGGGTTAGGGGTTTTGGGGTTTTGGGGTTTTGGGGTTTGGGGGTTTTGGGGTTTTGGGGTTTTGGGGTTTTGGGGTTTTGGGGTTTTGGGGTTTTGGGGTTTTGGGGTTTTGGGGTTTTGGGGCAGCGGCTTCGGGCTTGGGGTTGAAGAGGGTTTTGGGCTTTAGGGCTCAGGGTTTTTCTAAGCTTGGGCAGCTTCTGCTTTAGGATCGAACTCGGCGACGTCAAGTTAAGAGATTTGGGGGGCGCAGTCTGCGCAGATAGTTGCCGTTCGAAAACACCATTCCCAATAAGCTATTCAAGGCTTGGCCGTTGGTATTTGTGAGGATTGATGCTCGCAATCTTAACAACTCACCCTACACCCTAAACCCTAAACCCCAAACCCTAAACCCAAACCCATGACTCTTACACTGCTCCATGCAACCAAGCCTCTCCCACAGGCACTGTGTCAAGGCCCCCGGAAGGCAAGGACTCGAAGGCCTAATTTAAGCGGGTGTGGGGGGTTTAGGGTTTAGGGGTTGAGGGTTTAGGGGTTTAGGGCTTAGGGTTTAGGGTTTGTAGGTTTGGGATTTAGGGTGAGTTTTATCAGGTCTAATAAAGAGTTTAAGGGTTTGAGGTTGTAGGGTTTACATAGCTTCACGCCTACCTGCAAGGTCAGGCCCGCTAAGACGGGATCGTCCAGGGGATCGATCCAGCGGCCGTTGTCCGACCTAGGCTTGAAAAGGTTCTGCGGCGACTTGCATTCGCTGCAGGGATTCTTCGACGTTCTGTCGATGTCTGAGCCTCGTGCCGTCTGAGCTCGTAGCCGCCGCCTAAGCGGAAAAGCGCAATTTATATAAGGGACTCAATTCTTGCGGGGATTGGCTCGGGACTAACACGGAAGGAGAGGCCGTTAGCTGAGGGCCTGGCGCATCTTCACGACGCGCGCCACGATCGAGCGAAAGCTCTCGTAGTCGTGCGCTGCGTAGGTGAAGACGTACCGGCGCTCGCCCCACTGAATGAAGCTTGTGAGCTTGCTTTCCTTAGCGGGTTTTGCGGAGACTTTCGGATGGAAGAGCGACGCACCGGGCCTGCGGGTACAGCTTGTCGTACTCGTCCTCCAGCTCGTGGTTGAGAATGTCCTCAGGGTTGCATCTTTGCGTGTTTATGAGTTGCGCTGCTAACACTGCTGCTGCGCGCTAAGACAGTCTGAGAGCTTGCGAAGGACATCTTGCGTGGAGTGAGCTGCACGGAGGGAACGCTATTGGATGACTGAGGACTGGGTTGCTGCTGACTCTGATTCTTTATGCTTTGTTGCCAGTCTCGGGAACCTGAATGTTGCTGTGCACTTGTCTTGTTCCAGTGCATCTCTTGAATCCCCAGCAGCTGCGAGATCAACTCCTCTTTGAAGGCTTTGGGGTAGAAGGTTCGAGTTTACCTGGGGCAAACACCACGCCAAGCGCGCAACACAACCGTCAGAATTCGACCTTTCTACCTGCCTCTGCTGTCGGTTGGATTCTGTTTCTTATGTTTGTACTTGTAGAGAGCTGGTAGCTTGCAGCGGAGACCTGACGCTCAGAGCTTAAGGGGCTTGACCGCAATCGTTGGGAGCAGCTCTGACTGCTCCGCCTGTTTGTTTCTGTTAAATTATCGTTTGAGGCCCTTGCGGTTGTTCCCCACCCAAGTCGAGCAGCAAGTACGAAAGTGCTCGTTGATTGTGAAAAGTCGGGCCGTGGTGCTCTTTGGCGGAGCCAATGAGTTTCCAGAGTAATGAGTCTTGATATCGTGGGATACGAACATGGCAGGCGTGCTTATTTTTACAGGGCGTTGATCATCTCTTTTCCGGCCGCCTGCTCCTTTGTTTCGCGCACGTATTCACACTGCTGCAATCTAGTCCTGACTCCTTTCGTTCGGGATGTCTTCTATGTACGGCTGCATCTGCTCGGGCACTTTGGCCGGTGTGCATCGCTCGCAGAGCTGGAGGAACATATCCTGCACGACTGGCTGCGCCGAGCTCGGCAGCAGATCCTAATTGCGGGCATCTCGGCTGCTGAGGCGCGGGCTTCTCCGCGTTGGTGGCGCTCGACGAGCTTGCGGATGCAGCACCATTGCCTGGGCGAGCTGCATGTGGCGAGTGGTTCATGCGTGGGGTTCGTAGCACTGCCTCGTGGTTGGCACGCATGATGTCATGCGTTCATGTGCTTTTGCTTGCTGTTCTGAGGCCGGCTGCTCCTTAGGCGTCGCATCCCAAAAGGAGACCATGAAGTCGAAGAGGATGACCGTGCCCTCGACCACCGTTGGTACGGTCACGACCTAAGCGAAGCGGTGCATCGGCTTGGGATCCTTTATGGGTAATCTGACACATGGGTATCTTGGAGATGGCACTTGTTTAGGAAGACTTCTGACTTGGCTGGCCTCTTCTTCTGGGACATCCGGCGGCACGAAGCTGAAGTACTCGGCCACACGCGCCTCAAGCATGGGCAATCTGGCCGGGTGGTTCTGTGCCATCTGATCCTCCGGGGCCGGAGCGGAGTCAGGTAGACGCAGCGGCGGCGGAGCCTGTCGGGTCCGTCGGGTGCTAAGCGTTTGTTGCCGACGCGTTCCTCATCATGTGGCTTTGCCTGGGCACCGTGTAGAGTCTGCTTGCGTGCGCGGCGTCCCATTGCCTGGTGGCGTCTTCACCTCGGGCTGGATCTGGCTCTGGGTTGTTAGGTTTTTTTTCAGAGCCAAAAACTGCAGATGGGCTGCGCACTTATGCAGGTCCAGGTTTCCGGGAAGCGAGAATCCATGTCTAAGGTTTTTATGCGCTGACTCTGAATCATGGCCTGTCACAACGCGACACCTGGAGGATACAGAGTGAGACCTGCGCCCTCTTTGCTTTTGTTTGTCTGCGCAGCGCCTGCGGTGGTTCACGTGCTCTCACGGTGTCCGAAGGCCTTCGCACCTGCGCTAGGGGTGCAGCAATGCATCGTCTGCACATGTAGGTGTTTACACGTCCAGTTCTTGTTTCAGCTCGAACAACCCCTGCCTGGAGATCATTTGACTCTGTTGGCTTGGGGTTGAAGGGTGTAAGGTTCAAGGGTTTTATGGTTTAGGGTGTAGTCCAAAATTTTAGGATAGGGATTTCAGCGTTTAGGGTTTGGCGTGTCATTAAGGGTTGAGGGCTTAGAGTTTACGCTTTAGGGTTGAGGGTTTAGGGTAGTTTCACACATCTGACAGGAACCCGGGCTTTGCCCTAAACCCTAAACTCAACCCCTAAAACCCTAAACCCAAAAACCCTAAAACTCTAAAACCCTAAAACCCTAAAACCCTAAAAACCCTAAAAACCCAAAAACCCTAAAACCCAAAAACCCTAAAACCGTAAAACCCTGAACCCTAAGCCCCTCAAAAAAGAAAAGAGGATGCCAATCACGAGGGTCCTAGAGGCGCTAAAGTCCTCGGCCGAGCCCGCCGCCAGAATGCTGACAAGGCGGTCCCCCACCTTGCTTTCAGGTCTTGGAGGTTTAGGGTTTAGGGTTTAGGGCTTAGGGCTTAGCTAGGGGCTTAGGCCTTAGGGCTTAGGGCTTAGGGTTTAGGGTTTAGGGTTTAGGGTTTAGGGTTTAGGGTTTAGGGTTTAGGGTTTAGGGTTTAGGGTTTAGGGTTTAGGGTGTAGTGTTTAGGGTTTAGGGTTTAGGGTTTAGGGTTTAGGGTTTAGGGTTTAGGGTTTAGGGTTTAGGGTTTAGGGTTTAGGGTTTAGGGTTTAGGGTTTAGGGCGTAAAGAGTTGGAGGGTCGTGTGCTTTAGGGGAGGCGGGGGGTGAGGAAGTTTGGGGCTTTATCGGTTTTGGGGAGTTGGCGAGTTCAGGGCTTTTGCTGGGGTTTTGAGGGTTTAGTGGCTGAGGGTTTGGGGGTAATTAGAGTATGGGACTTTGAGATCTAGGATGGCCCTTAAAACCCTCTGAGAAATAAGTTTGAATATGATCCTACACCCTAAACCCTAAACCCTAAACTCTAAACCCTAAACCCACTAGGGAAAACTTAGAATATCCCAAGGGACTATCTGCAAGTAGAGATTTAGGGGCTCTTGTAGGGTTTCAGGGTTGCGCTGCTGGCGAAGAGCTTTGGGGGCTTCGTGAAGCCTTGCCACACGTGGGCGTAAGGCTTCATGATGCGGACACCGGAGACCCGCCAGCAAAAAACAACATGTGGGGCTGTATAACAACCCCGATGGAAACCTGCTGGTCCCCAAAAATGTTATCGTTTTTTTTACTCCTTATCGTTTTACAGTGTATGCGCACAAAACACAGTATTGTTGGCTAGAATTCTTATCGTTTTACAGCGGTTGCTTATAAAAGGAAATGCTTCGGAGCACTTGGTTTCCACCAGGCCCCCAGAGACACCCCAAGACCAGAGTCACCACAGGGCACACATCTTCAACCCTGGAATGGTCCAGGTCCTTCAACAGACCCCATCGTGAACAAAAAGTTATCGTTCTGGTTATCGTTTTGATATCGTTTTTGACCTAAAGAACTAGGGGTGTGAGGGTGTAAGGGCTGTTAGGCGTGTAAGGGGCCACACAACAAAAACCCTGCAGAAAGTTATCGTTTTATTTTACTCCTTATCGTTTTACAAGCTAAACGATACTCGGGCGCACTCCTTTCTAAACCGCAAGCCGCGGGGTTATTATACAACCCCATGTAGGGTTTATGGACCCTGAACCCTAACCCCTAAACCCTACATACACCCTACACCCTAAACCCGACGTATCTGACAGAGGCCTAGAAGGGTGGGGAGCTGAAATTTGGGCGCTAAGCCCTAAACCCTAAACCCTAAACTCCGAACCTTAAAAAACCAAAACTCTAAACCCTAAACCTCGAGTAACCCTCCCGGGCCTTCACCCCGTGCATGTCTGCGAGGCCACCCCGTTTCGTCGACGCCACAAGCACAGACGCGCCGCCTCTCGGTATAGGGTTTAGGGTTTAGGGTTTAGGATTTAAAATTTAGGGTTCAGCGCATCTTCAGGAGGGGATTAAGCTAAGGCTTCTCCGCGGCGTATCAGGCCACTGCTACGAAAAAATCAAGGGACTAAAGAAGGGAACCTTAGGGTTTAGGGTTTAGGGTTTAGGGTTTAGGGTTTAGGGTTTAGGGTTCAGGGTTTAGGGTTTAGGGTTTAGGGTTTAGGGTTTAGGGTTAGGGTTTAGGGTTTAGGGTTTAGGGTTTAGGGTTTAGGGTTTAGGGTTTAGGGTTTAGGGTTTAGGGTTTAGGGTTTAGGGTTTAGGGTTTAGGGTTTAGGGTTTAGGGTTTAGGGTTTAGGGTTTATGGTGTAGGGTTTAGGGTTTAGGGTTTAGGGTTTAGGGTTTAGGGTTTAGGGTTTAGGGTTTAGGGTTTAGGGTTTAGGGTTTAGGGTTTAGGGTTTAGGGTTTAGGGTTTAGGGTTTAGGGTTTAGGGTAGTGTGGGGGCAACTTGTGTATACAGGGACTCTACAGGGTATTTTTAGGTTGTTTAGAGGAATAAGATTAGGGGTCCCTGCTCGGGGTCCTTCCTTGTATCCACTGGGAACCCTAAGCCCTAAACCCTAAACCCTAAACCCTAAACACCTGTCTAAACCCTGAACTCAAAACCTCAGTATAAACCCCAAGCCCTGAACCCTAAACCCCAACTGCCCACCTGAAATTGCCCTAAAGACGGTGGAGGGAGGAGTAAGCCTCTAGGTTTTGGGTGTTAGTACAGTATAATGATAAAGGGACCATAAGGGAATACTAATAGTATTTATTCCGATCCCTATAGTAAGCTTTAGGGTTTAGTCACGTTTAGTGTTTAGGGCTTGGGGTTTATAATGAGGTTTTGAGTTCAGGGTTTAGACAGGTGTTTAGGGTTTAGGGTTTAGGGTTTAGGGTTTAGGGTTAGGGTTTAGGGTTTAGGGTTTAGGGTTTAGGGTTTAGGGTTTAGGGTTTAGGGTTTAGGGTTTAGGGTTTAGGGTTTAGGGTTTAGGGTTTAGGGTTTAGGGCTAGGGCTTAGGGCTTAGGGCTTAGGGCTTAGGGTTTAGGCTTTAGGGTTTAGGGTTTACGAACCCTACAGCCCTCAACCCCAAACCCTAAACCCCCTAAACCCCCAACTCCCAGTTGGGACTGCCAAGTCCGGCCTCCACCGGACAGGGTGACGTCAGCCAGGGCCAGGCGCCTTGTCTTAGGTTCTAGGTCCTCACCCCAAACCCGAAACCCTAAACAGCTTAGAGGGTTGAGGGTTCGAAGTC